TAGCCTCAAATCATTACAACATATTATTAAAATATGCTAATTTTGGAACAAACCTACCACCATAAAAAGTACAAATTAATATATTCTCTGTACTGAGCTTTCGTCTTGGATTGAGACTGCGTGTGTCGATAGCGTGTCTTCTTTGCCATCGCAAGAACCACCCTGAACTGGCCTTAAATTCAAAGTCGTCATATCTGAGTTGTATGCTTTGCATTGGGTGATGGGACCAGATAGTGGAGTTCCGGCAGACCGTTCTTAAAGAAACGTAAACAGCTTTATCGGTGTCATCATTGTCGGACACTTTCGCTTGTTTTTCTGTTCAGTCCCGCCTCTTGGTCAACTTTGAAAACAAATTTACTTTTCATTTTTTACCCACCCACGAATAGTGGGCTCAACCACGTGCAACCCTTAACTTGGTTTGACACGGTCGATCGCCGTGAGTTTATGGCGTACGAACAGGCTGTATACATGTAGCTTTCGCTTTGACATGCTGCTCAATTGAGAAATAGAGATCAGAATTCTATGAATTCAACTCATTGTAGCGAGTTTTTGTAAAGGTATACCAAAATGGGACCGGCCAAGAAGTACGTACGGTCACTACTCGACACCCCTGTTGACACCTTGAGTAAGGCTGCCGTCACCCATTGCGTCTCAGCAATTGACGGACAGTAGGTGTTAAGTTGTCTCTTTAACGGTTAGTTAAAAATACTATGCCACGAAACATTAGTCTTTGTACTTCAAAACTGCTGTCAAAACACAATAGAAATTTTGGGAGCCATCCAAGTACCCGCGACTTAGCCGAATCGCGACTTACCGAGGCGCGACTTAGCGAGGGGCCACTGTATTGACATGGAAATAAATAACCCTCCATTTAAAATGTGATGTGTGTTGAGTAGTTGCTATTGCTGAAATCGGTCAAATGAAGGAGACAGGGGGAAATTATGATACACAAAGCACAGTATTAAAGTAAGTGGCACACAAAATCATCAGTGAGATGCCTTCAGAGAGAGGCTTTTATAGTTTTCTAAAATGGTGATGTATTTAACATGGTTTTCGCCCAGGGCCTTCAGTAAGTTGTCATCTTATACCGTAATCTTTGAGGTTCGCTTGACAATCTGAATTTCAATAGATGGAACCAATAGATGAAGATGTGGATGCAACCCAGTGGCCATCTCTTTTCACTTGCAAGTGATTCAATGTATACCGTCAATATATAACATATACATGTATGCTATGCTTACAGTGTCCACGTTCTGGTGATGGCAGTTACAAATTGATACTAATGTAACAGGAAATGCTTTATTAAAAACAAAAATCGGATAAAATAGATTGATAGCTACTTACAGTAATTCCTCTATTGTAGTTAAAGCGGGAGAGTTGTCACCCATGCATGCGTCAGATGGCCATAGCGTATCATTGTTTACAAACAACCGTCTACCCATGAGCCTTTTTAGCGTGTGGTGTTATCATCGCTTGGGACTCCCGCGCATGCGCAGGTGACGACCCTCCCGCTTTAAATACTTACTTCCTGGTGTATACAGTAATGCTTCTACTGTAGCTTTCTGTTCGTCTCTGGACGATGGATTAACCCTGTGTATCAATGCACTTGTTGTTTCTTGCGGTATATTCGCAACTCCTTCATCTTTACGCCGACTAAAATAACACAGGTTCTATAAGAAACAATGATAATGAGATGAAATTTATTGATTTTCATTTTAATTCTTTAATAAAAAAATATGAAAATAGAAACTATCATCCCTTACCAGCCCTTAGGTGCCCTTAGGAATATTATGTCAAAAGACTTAATAAAATGCACCGTTACCATGGTGATAACACACACTGCAATATTCACCTTCAGAAATGATGAACTCACACAATTATTGCTACCATAATGCAATTCCTGATTCCAAAATTGCTAGCGTATGCGCATTTAGTGTTTGTGCATTTGTGCATAGTGCATGACTTAAGGTCAGTGAACTAGAAGTTAGAACAGATTTTGAATGTTTTAAACGCAGTACACCGCTCATCCGTGTTTCTGACTCGCAGCGTAAAAAATTCCCTCAAATAAAAGTGCCATCAACTTTCAACTAACTTATGTCAGCCTCTGAAAATTCGCACACCATTCCGCCTGAGTAAGAAATACAATCACATAAACTATCTTTGTCTATAGCAAAATATTTTTTATATTTTGGGGGTTTGCGGGTGGTGGTGGAAAACTGTTGTATTTACTCAGCAAAACACAAGTACAATCTTTTTTTAAATTTATTCTCTCTGCAAGAAAACACCCTTTTCAACTATTCACATTTCTTCTAGCTGTTCCTGTTTGTTCCCACATACAATCACTCCACAATCTTTTAAAAATAATTCAAATATGCCGCTGTCTTTTTTCAAGGGTTGTCTGTCTGTTGTTCTTTTTACCTTCCATATTTTCTCCTACCTGCACTTATTGCTGGATAGGATACGTATAAGCAAAAAGAATTACATCATTATCCGGAATTGATACAATATAACAATTTGTAGCAATGCACATCTGTGACACAATAGTGAATACCTTTGCTGCAGCCTCTACCTCTGAGGAATGCAGGGCGTCATCAGACTCTCCACTACGTATTATAGCGTCAATCATCAAGACATTTTGAGCAGCTTGTTGGATAACTTGAGGATCTTTCTGCACATCCGATATCAGTCGTCCAGCCCACATCTCACGAATCAATATCCACCAGCAATTTCTCTCACATTTTAAACTGGCAATGTACGGAGCTTTGTCATCTTCTGAAAAGAACGAATCATAATATTAATTAGTAGACTTTTACACTTCTGTAAAAATATTTATTCATTTATCTAGGGACCTCCAGAACATGAATAAATTCACACAATTCAGGGTGTAGGACATGTTTTAGCATGCACATTTCAACATTACTGGAGTTCTCAGTACCAATGCATCCTCATAAGGAGAGTTGTTTTAATTCAATAAATACTGGCACTGAAAACCTTTTTTTTTTGTTTCTTTTCCTGCAGACGTCTCCAGGGTTATGGTTTTTCATTTATCAAATATAGAAGAAAATATTGATATGCAACTTTGATATCTACATGTCAATTCAAAACAAAGATGTAAAGTTGCATTTTTCTGGAATGAAGCAAACCAAAAAATTGACCCTGAAATGTTATGATCAAAAACAGCGCCCCCAGTGTTCAACAACTAAAACCACTTGTTTTTATTGTAAATTGAATATACTTTATGACAGATTACATAATCTTGCGTGTATAACTTGATGACTTGATATCATCAGACATTGTTAATATTCAGGTGAGTATAGAAAAGCATATTCATATTTCACAGTATATATTTGAATAATACATTTCATTGTATAATTTCATATTCATCCTTACCTCTACTCGCAAGAGACAAATGTGCTCAAATTTCGAGAGTCAGTGAAAATCACAAAGGGAGACTTTAATACATGTCACCCTGATTGCAGACCCTTGTATAATCCACCCTTGAAATGTGACACAGCTGAATACTCATTTTATGCTGAAGATGAATCCAATTTTAATATACCCAGGGGTACTCACGTTTATGGAATATCTTGAGGGCTGGAACACCTGGTGGAAAGACGTTATAAAATTCAAATTTCTCCAGAGACTTGATATCGCGTAATCGTATGACTTCTTCGAATTTACGTTTTCCTTCTGTGAGAAAGAATAGCCTGAAAGATACGATATGAGTATAGTGAAACTGGAAGACTAACACAGTGGAAATTACATTATATTAATCTAAACTTTAAACTTACGCAACAATCAAGAAACACACTAGATTTGCACACTGAACTCAGCTTTCACTATTTATAAACTTCTATAATATTTTATTTTATTGAAAAAAAAAAAACACAAAAAAATAAACATTAAACTATATGCAAGTCTAGGAACACATCACTTATGATAAAACAAGTCTGTGATAAAGCCAAAAAAAATCTGCTTGGGTCCTGAGTTGCTCATTTCTTTACCATATTTTGGCAATAGCCCACCCCCCACCCAATATCAAGGTTCATGTACACAGCCATTGTCATTCATGCATACATCATTTAAATTGGTCAATGACTGGTGAATTTCACGATGTTTGAATTTATAAATAGGATAAGATAAACATCAATACTAAATGTGTTTATTGCCATAGAGAAACAAATAGATTTCAGATTAGTGTGATTAGTGTGATTAGATGTGACAATCCATGGTTATTGTGTTTCAAATAGTTTTATGGATGGATGACTGAGTCATTTGCTTACATTTTGATTTCTTTCATTCAGTGAAATTGTATCTTTTAAGATTTGAATTGACATACAGATGATACTACCGGTAGATAGTATTTATGGAGAAAGAAGAAAAATCGCAGGTTATTGACCTATAAAAAATGATTTTTTACCTTTTTTGAGTTAATATCAATCTTCCAGTTCCATGATCCGCACGAATCAAAGACGATACTTTCAGTACACACTCATTCGCGTCTAATTTACCATGCGGTAATTCCAGTTTACTCGTCTCCAATTCGGCCTCTTTCCAGCACTGATAGAAGATGGCAAACGTTTCAGGATCTAAACCTAAAATGTCAAATTTAGTATTTCAGCATCTACCTCAAAATAATTTGATTTGTTTTTCAAGGATAATATTCAGTAAATTAAAAAAACAGCAAAATTTAAACTAAAAAAGATGATGTGGATAACACAGTTTTTACACAAGAATTTCTTGCAATTTTTCTAATCTATGCCCAAAGAAAAAACACGGAATAACCAAACTAGTTTGAACTAATTATGAACCTCATTTGTATTTGGACTTATTTTCAATTCAAAATGACTACCAGAGTAAAGCTCATTCCTGCAAAGAAACCACAAATTCAATATTTCAATGGAAATAAGTTTTGGTACTCCCAATTTTATTCTTTTATTTTTGTTGCACCCTTTTTGCTCAGTAAAACATCAAATATTTCTAGTGCTGCATTTTCTGCAAATATTTCACTGGCTAACTGTGCCCATCCTTAAAAACTGTAAACTGATTTCACTGCGCAAGAGACAAATTAGCACAAATATCGACAGTTAGTGAAACTCAAAAATTTATGTCCTACGACACAGAGTTTCAGCAACTTTGCACAATTTTGTCTCCATGCATACCATAAGATCATAAAATCATGCAAATTTCTAGCAGTGAAAATTAAGCAATTTACAGTATTCATGATAAATTTACTTACACATAACCCTTCCTAAAGTCAATGAATAAAAGAGTCTTGTAATGGCATCTATATCAATAGCAATCTCCATTAACTGAATATGCTTCACAAACTCCGACAAATCTTAAAGAAACAAAAAATAAATCACCATGCTCAAGTCAAAGAAAAGTGTACATAAAATATATATAAAACTGTTGAATTATTAGTGTTGAATTGCAAGTGCGAAACTTTCTTCACATCAAAAATCAGAATTGCTCAAAGTAGTATATTATTTTAACTGACCAGTTTACCCATGCCTATCTAGTGAGGATATACCTGAGTATATTCTGTGTTTTTGCAGAGTCACAACTCACTAATCATTTCACTATACACATTTTGCAAATAGTTTAAACACCTCTAGTTTATATTGTTGCCTTTTTTCATGAGATACATAATAATTTTAACTAAACTTACCAACTGGTTTAGTAGGGACTTTTTCCAATTCCATTGTCACCCTGACATTGGAATAACTGTTTTTTCTCTCTGATATCTTCTTCCATACTTCAGCTCGCTTGTAAAAACTTTGCTGGCTTAATTTAACTTTCTCTGATGCTGATAAGTTATCAATTATATGACCAATAATTCTGACAAAAAGAGAAAAATATGCTTAATCTTAGAACGCCAGAGTCAACTAATGTCAGCTCTCACAAAATAAAGGTACAACATTTTTTTTCAAATGTTTTCAAAAATGTTGACACAATGGTAACTTATAATATAGAAAAGTAAATGAAAATGTGTAAAATGTTCACCAGCAATTGAGATAAACCAATGCTATATTGTGCGGACGGTACGAAACATGTACCGAGAAGTAATAATAAACAAACAAACAGAATGAAAGAGCCGTGTGATGGCGCACCTTAGTCATAACTATGTACCATTGAAAATGGATATGACAATACACACAACAAGCTTGTAGGATGTGACATATGCAAATTAACACCAATAGATCATAGATCTACAAATCATAATATTGAGGTAAATCTTTTGCATATATTATAGATTTATCAGCTTTGCACAAGATCTCCTAGTTATGTTGTGTTCAGGCTATATGTACACCAGATGAATGGATGCCATACACAGGATTACAGGATGTGACATCATACACAGGATATGACATCACATATAGGATATGACATCACACATGATATGACATCATTGGTGGCAAAGTGACATCAGTATATTTAAAACTCACTGAGATGGAAATATTCTAAGATCAGCGGCAGCTAAATTATGGAAGTCTTCAATTCCATCGATGGGTCTACCACAGGCTACTTGGAACATTCCGCGTAGATAAAGATATGACGCCCTCAAGTTTGGTGACTTGACAACCTGAAAAGCAAGATACTGAATGACATATAATGTTATATGAAAAGAGAGAAAGATTGATATTATTTGGTGAAGAACAATGAAAAAATATCAAAAGAACACATATTAATTTAAAAGCACAATATTAAATAGAGCCTGACTTTAATGGAATATGACGTCTGCAATACCATTAACATAAGTAAAGATGATAGCACTGCAATGATATGAAAAACTGAAAATTTAAAATAATGTGAATGGACAAGTGTCAGTACTTCCTTCTACGCGATCTCGTGTCATGCATGATCGTTGCAGGCCATCAAATAATTTGATTTTGCATTTTCTGTTTTTATAATTCAATGTTGAAACACGGTAACCATGGTTATGGTTGAAATATAATAAATGGATAAATCATAGCATGAAAAGTCATGTGGCAGACGTGTTAGCTTGTCTGCGCTAAGAACTCTGGGATGGAGAGGGTAGTTTTGTGTGGTGCATCATACATAATTGGAGCATAGACAAATTTAGCTAAGTTATAGCGCCCTCTGGTGGCAGATGTTACAGCAATAATAAGTACAGGACAAGAATCTAAAACCCAGCACTAATGAGGAAAACCTGCATAATCAAATCATTCTCACTCAATTACTCAATTTGTAAGTATATGTAGCATTTGAAAGCATGATTATATTTACATTGTATTTGCTCTAATAGAAGTGCATCTCCAATAGGTGATTTTCTGTTCAACAGCGAGATCTCATGCATGACGTAAAAGACGTGCACCGCACGTCTGCTTTAAATTGAACGATTTGATTTTGAACTTGAATTTCTTTATTTCTTAGCTCACATCGAAAGGCCGATCTTTGACAGGGGAATATTGCGTTTGAATACCTTTACTTCATTAAAATTGACCATCATCGAAAGAGTACAGGACATTATTATGCATGGAAATATCCCCAAAATACTTTCCCATTTGTCGAATCCCACGCGATGTTTGTCGGCGTTTTTCCTGTTTTTATGTTCGATTTCATGCATAACTCGGGATCTCGCAGTGAACGGAAAATGGTCTATAGAACCACATAGATAAGTGAAAAATTACATATTAAGTTTCAGACTGAATCGTTAAATATGACATAATTTGATCATATACATGTACACACCCCTGTTATTTACACAAGCATATGCGTTACAAATAGAGCAAATACTGTAACAGATCTACCGTAGTTTTAAATAGAATACACATAGAATGGTAATACCAAATTTCAGTAATTTCATGTCTTAAAACAATCTGTTATTGATTTTCCTCCAATAAATTTATCATGCAAATCTCGTGATTGTACAAGTACATACAGCTAAAAAATGATAAAATGCTGTAGTGCCACAGCTGCCGAAGTGCATGTGTTAAATTTTGTGTTAAAAAACACTGCATTTTTTTACATGGATTGTAAACATTGATGGGACACAGTGTGCTCTCTAAGCTGATACGACACGGCAATGTTGCAGAGATTGAAGGTACTGCAATTAGTTACCCTCATTCGGTGACACAACAGACGATCATACATTGACATAGTGATCTTTAAAACATCTTACTATAGTTACGAAATTCATAATTTGGTAAAACAAAATTTTAATTTCATAAACAATCTAAGAGTAAAAATGAGGAAATTAGGGGGCCACAATATATTCGATTGTGACTCAAATCACTTATACAGCCAAATACTGTAAAATACTTTATTTTCACTTGGAATAAATTTTCGCTGAAAGGATGATTCAGTGAAAATAAAATCAAGCAAATATTTTTTTTTCCTATATTTTACATTTACCTCGTCAAAAATCAATGAAAACAAGTCATTGTCAATGACACGTCCCTGTTCCGTTCATATTTGAGTGACATATACATTCAAAGCAGATCATGACCGAAATGCACCTGCATATGTACAACACATTGTACTAAATCTGAACAAAATCCATCCATGCATGACTGAGATCTGGTTCCGGAATTATGAAAATACGTGATTTTGATGCATTTTCGGCCTTAAAATGGCCATCATTCAGCTATTGTTAAGCGGATCATGAAACAAATGCACATATCTATTTGTCACATAATGTACCATGTGTGTGTGAAGTTTGAACTTGATCAATCCAGATATGTCTTGGATACGGATCCAGAACTGAATTCTTTAACAAAATGGCCGCCAGTCGGCCATTTCGAACTTGATCCAAAAAAAAAAAGACGTGCATCAAGGTCCTATTATGTTTAATGTATGTACCAAATTTGAACAAAATCCGTCCATGCATAACTGAGAACCGGGTTCGGAATAGTGAAAATGTGCGATTTTGATGCATTT